CTTTCATTGAAATGGCTTGATCAAGAGATCTTTCTTTAATTCTTTAAAAGATTTGCAATTTGATCGAGAGAGCAATAAAACAAAAATCAAAGCATGGAACAATATCGCAGTAGTAGAATGAATCATGCTGATAATGTATTATAAAATAATAAAAAAAATAGAGAGAGAAGTAAAAAGAGAATAAAGAGAATAATTATTATTGATGAAAAGTCATATATATAATTATTGATGAAAAGTCATATATATAATATATATATATATATAATATATATAATATATATATGTTACCATAAGTAGAACCCTAATAGAGTCTTAACACAAAATATATATTGTTACATAAGTAGAACCCTAATAGAGTCTTACACAAATTAGAAAGATAGAATTCGCAATAATTAAGCTTATATAGGATATCTACTTATTTCATAATTGACTGGCGAAATAACGCTATGAGCTACACAAGAGGGGTAGACCTCTTCTTCAAGGACCAAATTGGTAAAAACAATTGAGGTCGAGAGAAGTCGCCCATTCCGCACATAAGTGAGAAGACCAACCAGACCACCATCTAATTGGCATATTATAATTCTTTTATTGAAAGTATAACCCACATACTTTCATATTTTTGACATATACTTTATATGCTATCATGATTAAGGTAATCTCTTGATTAGTTAATATTTGGTGGAAGAATGTTTTAATAATAATGTTAGATGTTCATCCATATTTAGAAAAAGATTTGAATATAAATATCTCATTATTTGGCTTATGAATATTATTGGAACTCGTGACGAGTTTTTTATTATAGATACTTCAAACTAAGAGTTTAAGACAAAAGGCATTGGTAATATAAAGTTTTGTTTGAAGATCAAGCATTTTATAAATGGAATTTTCGTGGATCAATCTACATATATAACTAAGTTATTACAATGATGTTATGTGGATGTCAATGGTTGCGAGATTACTTTCTTTGGAAGCAAAATCGATTAATAAGCTTTTATCCGTGTAATTTAAGTCCAATAAACATTTCAATTTCTTCAATTGGAATGGTACTCGAACGAGATTTCATAGGAAGTCATAATTATTTCTCAAACATAGAGAAACTTAGGTGTTTATTTAGATATAATTTAGGAACCCAATTATATTTTACCATTTACCATCTCTCTTCTTTCTCTTTCTTTATTTTCTCTCTATTTTATCACCTAGTTCTTTCTCCCTATCCGTTTCTTTCTTTCCTTTTTTGAACTAATGAAACATAGTCCATTAATCTCCCATTTTCAACCCGCACGCATATTGGTAGCATGATAGAGGCCATAAATATGGGCCCAATTTGATTCAAATGGAACACCTCTTTTTTTGAAGTAAAGACTTTCCTACACTCTGTGTGCGACACATTCACACATAATATTTTGGTTCAAAAGAGTACTTCTGACCATACAATGAGAAAAAAAATAATAAAATAGTAAAATTATTTTAAAAGCCCATTTTCTCATTGGCTTGGGTAAATAGGTCGTTTCACATGCTCCTAAGTTTTAATCCACGTGGCAAGCCACAATGCATCTTATGTGGCATCTAATCAACAATTAAAAAATGAAAAGGTGGGTCCAACTGTCCTACAATGAATTTCCGGGATCCATGTGGACTAATTACACTTAATTGTAAAATTATTGCAAGTTTAAACACTAAATTGTAAACTTTTTTTGTTCATACACCAAAATAGAAAAATTACAAAGTTCATACATCGAAATTGCTATTATCCTTTTTTTTTTTATTTGGGACTGAAATCTGAATTGATGACTTAGGCATGGCTGGTTCATTGCACTGGTACTAGAAGTTCAAAATTTTTAAAATGTTGAACCGAAATTGACCCTTGAACTGTCGATTCCGATTCCGAATGCTTCGTTGAATCAACGGTTCCAATCACAGTTCCGATGATACTTGTATTATTTGTTCTAAAAAAAATAGGAATTTATTTTATTGTTACGTTTTTTTAGAAAAAATTAATGTGAATCTAAAAAATATTAGTAAATTTGATGGTATTTAAAAAATTACTAATTTGGAAGGATTTTATAAAATTGTTGATTTCATTGAATTTTATAAAATTATTGATTTAATTGGATTTTAAGGTGCTAGGTATGAATAAAATAGTCATTCACAAATCCAACCTCCAAACCAAAGTTTGAAAATTTTTTTAAAATCTAACAGAGTCATAATCCAATATACCCCTTAAGAAGGATGGAAGCGGAGCGGGTATCCGTGAATTTTAAATGTATTCATTTTAAACCCATTTAAATACTCTTTTAAGTACCTATATTCGAACTCGTTTAAATTTTCCTACCTGTATCTGTCCAAAACTCATTTAGGAGGGTGTATTAAATTAAAACTCTATTAGATTTTGAAGATTTTAAAACTCCAATGGTATTCAATCTAGATTTTTTTGGAGTCTATTAAAATCTTGTGGTATTCAATTCAGACCACTATAAAATCCATAAAAGTATGATGGTATTCAATTATGACTTTTTAGAAGTTCATACAAATTTGATGGTATTCAAAAGGTATTCATCTAGATTTTTTGGAAAGTCTATTAAAATCTTTGGTATTTCAATCAAGATCCAAACTATAAAATCCAATAAAAGTAAAATGATGGGTATTCAAATTATGACTTTTTTAGAAGTTCATACAAATTTTGATGGTATTTCAAAAATTACTTGATTGGTATTCAAAAAATTACTGATTTGGAAAAATTTTATAAAATTATTGATTTCGTTGGATTTTAAGATACTAGGTATGAATAAAAGAGTCATTCACAAATCTGACCTCCAACCCAAAGATTTCAAAAATCTTTTAAAATCTAATAGAATCATAATCCAATACACTCTTTAATAAAGATGGAAGCGGAGCAGGTACTCGTAAATTTTAAACATATCCATTCTAAACCTATTTAAATACTCTTTTAAGTACCGGTATTCGAACCGGTTTAAATTTTACTATCCGTATTTGTTTAAAATTCATTTAAAGTACCTCTTAAATGGGTAGGGGCCCGAGAATCTTAAACTATTCAAATTTGAATTTTTTTTTAACATATATTTATTACTCATAATGAATAAGGTACCCGCAGGTACCCACTACCAAACCTGTTTAATATAATGGTTAACGCGTAGCAAGTATCCAAACATTTATAAACGTACCCTACATGTATCCATTACGGCTAGTGCACGTACCCTACCTATAGTAATTTCACTATATATATATATTGCACTATAAATATATATATATATATATATATATATAATTATATATATATATATAATTAAACTTGCGATTTCCGACGAGACAGTTGCCGTTCAGTCAAGGGACGAGAAGCATGTAATATTCTGACCACATCGTGACTGTTTTGGGAGCACACGATGGTCATCGGTGACGCTGGCCATTGCAGGTTTTTTACTGTCGGCGGCGATAAAGTTTTAATGTAGAAAAAAAAAATTATTTTGGAGAAGATGACATATTTATTTTTGGTCCCTTATTATTTTTCAAATTTTCAATTGGGCCCCAGAACCTCTTAATTTGTTCAATTAGGTCTTGAAATTAATTTTGATTAGTTATATAAAAATCAGCTTAATTCCTTCAAATTCAATTAAATTCTATAAAAAAAGTCTCACCAATTTCATAAAACTCTATGTAGAGTTCTAGTCGAATTTATAGAAATCTTAGGAAATCCTTTAATTCCATCAAACTCAACAATTATTTTAAAATCTTACACAGTCATAATCTAACACACTCCCTAAGTAAAAAAATTTAGAAGAAAAAAAATAAGTTGTTAAACTCCCATAGTCATATCAAACAATATAATTTTAAACTAAGTATTTCACTTTTTTTTTGGTCACTTTTAACTTAAGTGTATCATGTAGCAACAAATTTATTTAGACTTGTAGAGATGCGTAGAACAGACTAAGGCTCCGTTTATTTCCGTAAAATAGCTTGCTGAAAAATATTTTTATAGAAAATATTTTCCAAATGATTTATTTTCAGTTGTTTGATTGTAATATTGAAAATTAGTTAAAAATATTAAAGTTTTTATCTCATAAGACCATAAAAAATATTATCTCAATAAGACCATAAAAAATATTAATAATAATAATAAATTCTATAAATTTAAAAAATTTATTGTTAAATATGAAAAAAGAATGCAAAAAAAAAAGTATATAATATTAGATGAAAGCTGCCAGTGCATAAAAAATATTAATAATAATATAAATTCTATAATTTAAAAAATTTATTGTTAAATATGAAAAGAATGCAAAAAAAAAAAAGTATATATATATTATGAAAGCTGCCAGTGGGCGGCAGCGGTGGCCACCGGTGGCTAGTGGTGAGGCTGGTGGTGGTAGTCAGTGGTAAATGATGACTGGTGGTAGTGACTATGATGATTAATAAATTAAAAAATATGGATTTATAAGGTTCGTCAATTTTCAAAAAATGTTTTGCTCCCTCGAAAATAGGAAGTTGTTTTCCTTAAAAAATGAGTTAATTTTTCTTTAACCAGCAAAATATTTTCCGTTGACTTATTTTTCTAAGCGCCCAAAACAATGAAAAATTGTGGAGAATATTTTCCTACAAGTTATGTTACGGAAACAAATGAAGTGTAAGTGATTATAAATTTTTGAAAATGAAAATAGAATTTTCAATTCGAAATGGATCGAAACTGCCAATTTCGTACTGGTTAGGTTCATTTTTTAACATTGACGTGAATTTAAACCCGCGCCTTAGCTGCTGGTTCTAGTTTAAAATTTCGAACCAACGAATTAGTTCCAATTTATGTATAGTATGTTGTGATTCTGGTTTGAACCGAACCGCTGGCCATGCCAGTTGACCCAGTACCAGATTTTGTCGGTCGGATATTCTGAACCGAACTGGTGGCTCCACTCCGAAGTTAGTCATTCATGACTTTGCGTCACGGCACATGTTTAATGCATACGGTCAGAAAGAATGGGTTCATGCGGGCCATTGCTAGTGCCCACTCCACTGCCTGCCAAAATTGGATTCGTCGCAGAAATTCATTTTCGCTTCAGAAAGCAAAATCAAATACTCTTTTCAAGTAATAAGTACTGCCTTTGTTTTTATACACAGAGAGAGTGTGTCTTTTGGAGCTTTAATTGACTGAAGGAAAAACACCATTTCTCTATCATTTGGAGAGGGTGAGTGGTTATGGAGTCTCTACTTGTTGGATCCTTCTCTGTACCTGCTTCGCTCACTTCTGGTAGGAGTTTCTGTTGCATTTTTATAGAAGAGTATTTGTTATTGAACTTATTATGGCATTTTCTTTTTGTTTATTTGGAATTTGTAGTTGTGAAAATCAAACATGCGTCTCTAACCCATTTGGCTTTGTTTAAATTCTACTATCAGTTTTTTCATTTATTTATTGAATAACAGGTGGAAGTTGCAGCGGGAGTAACAATTACAGAGTGGGTCATTCTCGAAGTATGTTCTAGTCCTCTATATGTTACTTCAATTTTCCTTTTTTTTTTGGGTTAAATAATTATGAAAACAATTGTCAAATTTATTGTAAAAGAAAAGAGAAGAAGAAGAATCAATTTCTACACCTTACTTGCATATACTCATGTTGTTTATGATAATTGATGGTATTAACAGTTGCTAGTATTGAATTTAAAATTTTGGTGTCTCATTGAAAAAATGATCATCTTTTATGATTGTATTGAAAAAAATGAAATTGTCATCACAAGAAAATCAACAATTTGTCATCAATTAACCCTTTCTATGAGAATGGTAATGGGGTGAGATGAGTTGGGAGACTAAAATATGCGTCAGAAACAATCCAAGGTTGGGCTTACCTGTTTAAATGTACTATTGTTAAATGAAACATGCATAATATTAAAATTTAGTTTCTATTAATTGGTGTTTGAAAAAAAAAAAAAAGAGTAATGTTGATTTATCAGTATAATGTTGATTTTACCATTCCAAACGTAAACAAGGTTTCACATGCTACATGTTTAAAGTCATTCCCTATCCTATGCCTTCAGAAGGCAAAAGCTTAATGGTTAGGAGACCAATTGTCATCTCTATATCTTTGGTTGCATATATAGTTGTTGGGACTTGTGTGTCAAGTCCATGGGATCCTAATTAGTCTTGGAGCGGATGGTTTTATTTATTTATTTTTAGTTAGGAGCTGTTTGCAATTTTAATTTATACTATCAATATATTTGTGGTCTGTATCTCTAGTTTTGTGCATGCAGAGAAAGTTTGCAAGTGTGGTATAATTTGAGGATGGAAAGAAATATTGGATGCATTAGATTGGATTTGTAACCAGGACTCCATGGTTGATTTTATTATTTTGTTTTTGCAAAGAGGCATTTGGTCAAACTGCCCATGAATCTAGTGTTCGCTGTTGTATGATTTTGTTAGTTCTTGCATCAGAGATGTTGAATGTGAGAGGTATGGCAATCACAAAAATTAAGGTGGAGTTTTTGATAGAAAATTTGTGAAAAAGCCAATGAGCATGAGTAATGGGAGTTGTGAAGAATTTGGGAAAAAGCATTCAGTAGAACTTGATTAGCTCTTTACTTGCATCAATTTTTATTTGACGAAAGAGAATTTATATATTTAAGAATACAGGAAGGATATATATTAGATCATCTAAATACCTTCAATATATTGACTATGTAGTTGATGAGTAGAGAGTGATGATGCTAAAGCAGAAGGGGAGGATCAAGTTCTGTTGGTCTTAATCTCACTCATGCTTTCTTGTAATATTTTGGCAACTGGATTGGAAGGACTCTGAAGGTGGAGGGTGTGATGATAATCATCTTGGAGAATGAAAGATCAAAAGGTTGAGTAACAAGTCTGATAGTGCTTTTGCAATTTCTAATCATAGCAGGATTTTGTTGCATCATGAAAGTAATTCTGGCTAGTAAGTCATTGGAATGACCATATTTAGTATCAATGTAGGAAGATGCAAAAGGTGTATAAGAGTTGTGAGAAAGCTAGTATTACTAATGGCATAATTGTTGCTAAAGGATGATATTGAGATTTTTGATGAACTTGCAAAATGTTAAGGTAATCTTTCATTCAAAAAATTTTTGATTCTAGATTCTACTTGCTCCTTTTATATTTTTCAAGTAGAGAATAATTTGATATATACAGAACATGTGATGGCATGGAGCATCTGGTACATTAGTCTATGATACAAAATTGAAGTTGAAGGGATTGGTGAGGTGAAGATTAAAATGCAGGATAGTATTGTAAAAAATTTTGATTATGCGATGAATAACTTAGAAGGAGTCTAATAGTTTAACGTTTCTTTTAAGAAGTGGATTGTTCAAATGCCTCACCTTGTTCATGACTAGGTTTCTGATTTATGAATTTTTACCTTCTTACTTTGATGTAATAGCATGCATCATCATTGTTGTTATTCTGATTGCTTGGTAACAGGTTCTGTAGCAGCATTTGGAGATTCAAGGTGCAGAACATGTAACATCTTACAAAGATACTATGTTCCGAAATTTCAGCGCCATCGCGTGAAGCATTATCTTAGACATAGCTTGGAAAAGTCTACTGTTTATCAGAAAAATGATTCCAGTTTCTTGGTGCATGCTGCCTCTGGACAGCCTTTTGAACCTCAGCCAGAAGCTTATAACCCTAAGAGTGCATCAAAATCTGTTCTCAATGCAATAGATGCTTTCTACAGATTTTCGCGTCCTCACACTGTTATAGGCACAGTTACGTTCAAGTCTAATGATGCGAACCTAACAAATTTTAATCCATTGTGTTTTATTACTGGCTTTCTAATGCTTCTCATCTAATTAATTGTGACTGTTATTTGTTTGGTGTCTTTTCTTGCTATCTTTCTGTGAACAGGCTCTGAGCATTTTATCAGTTTCTCTCCTTGCTGTTGAGAAACTCTCAGATCTTTCTCCACTATTTTTTACAGGTGTTTTGGAGGTGATGATGAAAATTACACTAGTCAAATGTAAAAAGCCTGTTGAAATATCTATCAACTATAGTTCTTATCATTTATTATTTTTATATTTCAGGCTGTGGCTGCTGCCCTTATGATGAATATATACATTGTTGGTTTAAATCAGTTGTCTGACATAGAAATAGACAAGGTAGCTTTACTTATTAAGGTTCATTTGCCTCCTTCAGACTTTAATGGCTTTCAACTAGTTCCTGGTACAGCAGACATTTTGCTGTGAAGATCTTTTATTTGATGTTTTCAACTTTAGATCACTTAATGGGCATTTTATTATAATTTAGTCTAGATACCTTTTCCATTTTTTTTTTCCAATGTTTTTCTTGTTACTCTGGTATCAGTCAGTAGGAATGATTAAGGGAGCGTTTGGATCAGCTGTTTCAGGCAGCTGATAGTTGATTGGGACGCAGCAGCTGGACTAGAGGCGTTTGGTAAGGATTCTAATCAGCAGCCCATAGCTGATAGAACTCTCAATCTGCTGCTGATTCTATCAGCTGGCTTAGGAGCATTTTACCAACCGCTACTGATATTTTATATAAATAGACTAAAATAACCTCTAGCTAATATTGTAACTTATCATATTGTTCACCGATTTCTTTAATGTTAATTTTTCGCTTGCTGATTGAGAACAAAAGAAAAAGAAATTGGTTTGTGGATGGAGAACAAAAGAAGATCGCAGTGTATAAGTTTTCTTGTATTATCAGTTTTTTTTTTTTTTTTTTTTTTTTTTTCACCGATTTCTTAATGTTAATTTTTTCGCTTGTGTTGAGAACAAAAAGAAAAGAATTGGGTTTGTGGATAGGAGAACAAAAAGAGATCGCAGTGTTATAGTTTTCTTGTATTATCTAGTTTTTTTTTTTTTTTTTTTTTTTTTTTGATTGTTCTAATTGATTGACATAAGTTAATGTGTTTTATTATGAATTTTCTTTTTATTAAGCAATTTTTTTTTTTTTTTTTTTTTTTTTTTTGATTGTTCTATTGATTGACATAAGTTAATGTGTTTTATTATGATTTTTCTTTTTTATTAAGCAATGAATTTTTTCTAGTTTTCCTTTATTGATCATTCAAAGTGCTGCTTTTATTTTACTTGATCTTTATAACTTGAATTTTTGCTTGTGTCTTCAATTACGTGATCTTTTTTAGACTAGCAAAGATGTAAACTGAAATAAACCTGTTTCTCTCGCATCAAATAAGCATGTTCATCAGCAGGAATTTGCACCCATCTCATTTCCTATCAGATAGATAGCTAACAGAGTGAATAAAACTTGCGTATGGTCCAAAAACAGTGATTGATTGCTGAGTTGTAGTGAACAAGATAAGGAGTTCAGTTTCTGGCCCTCATTCATGTTTGAAATATTTGGACGTATCAAAACATTGTATCCTCTGCCTTTTTAGATGTTTAATGATAAGTCTTGCCTAAGCAAGTACAATGAAGTTCTTTCCTTTTGATGCATGATTTCCTTTTTTTTATTTGACCAACCCATCCTCTCTTTCATTTTATTACTTTTTCGGAGCGTTTTACTTCATTTATTTGTTGCAAATCTCTTGACCTTTTGGTCCGAAAAGGAAAAAGAACTGCTATTGATTAGGCATCAAGTGTCCCATTTTCATGATGAATAGATGATGAATCATGCTTTCAATTTGTTAAATGGTGACATTTGTCTAGTTTTATTACCTCAAACGAAATTTATTTTTATGTCCACTAAACCTACAATCATATGGTCTCTTCTCTTTTATTACAGGATGCATCTAAGATCAAACATACAAATAGCATTTTATTTTGTTTTCCTTCTTGCGGATATAGTTTTTGATTAATTTAAAATATCTATTGAAGATAGCATGAATTTGACCTTATTTTTTTTGGTAAATCGGAAACTTTTAAAGAGAGAGGTTCCAAAGATTGGAACTGTAGACCTCTTCCTGCTGTGTTAGGCGTCTGGAATTCTAATACTTGACTACTGGTTGATTATAGCCTGAAATATTTTTCACACAAATCTTTTGAAGTCCCAATTGACAAAGTATGCTTGTTCTGTTTGTCAATGCAGTGGCATAGTTGTTCAGCCTTTTAAGTTATTGAAGTCCTTGTTGATGGAAACATACTGGCACCTGTCAATTAGTTTTCTTTTTTTGGTAATTTTACATATGCATTTTAGGAATAATTATAATTGATTGGCTTTTCTGTGTAGCGAAGACTGCTGATTTCTTAATTAATTTTGTTTTCTTTGCTTTTCTTCTTTTCTGATTTCTTATTATTTGGTCAAAGATACTTAACATTTTATAATTTTGTAATTAAGATACTTGAAAATAGCTATTTTATTGATATATTTTTTTCTTTATTATTAATTGATTATTTTTATTTTTCTTACTTCTTTTTTCAACAAAAATATATTTAAATTTATTTTGCATGTGAATTTGAATTTGAGTTTATTTAAAAATGTATCCTTTTTAGTCATTTTACATAGTAACAACAACTGAGTACACTTTTACCAAACTCTTGTTATTTATTTGCAATCAGCTATCCGCAACCATTATCAGCTGTGTGAAACTGCTGAACTAAACAGGCCCTAAGAAGATGCGATTCTGCTGTTTGGTCAGCTCTGTCTTTGCCACATTATGTTGAAATACTACATGACTGTCCCTTTCAAGTTTCTGTTCCTTAGTTAGCTGGCATTATATTCAAAAAATTCATAAATAAATGAATATGCTTATTTGGATTTTAGAATGACTGATGAATTCGGCATGTATCGCTGCAGGTTAACAAGCCATATCTTCCATTGGCATCTGGAGAGTACTCTACGGGAACTGGTGTCTTGATTGTCACATCTTTCTGGATAATGGTATCTGCATCTATAACCTTTTTTTGGCAGCTTAAGTGGCACATATGCAGTGGCATACAATTCTAGTTTCATTTGCTGCACAGATAAGACATTCTTGTTTTTCATCTGCATATGCTGTCTAGTTCACCAGTACATGAGTGAATGTAATGCTAGTTAGAGTGGTTACATTCATATGCTGTCTGGTTCACCAGTAAATGAGTGAATGTCTTACAATTCTAGTTTGAGTGTTTACATTAAAAAATGGTAAGCTGCATGGTATACAAATTTCTTTTTTGCATTAACGGTATCTTTGTGAAATTTTAAGGCATAGTTATGAAATACATTCATATAAAATACATACATAATTATATAATCATTGACAAATACATTTATTGCCTCAAACATTCTTATCTCACTTAAGAAGTGGAGAGTAGTCCCACGTTAGATGGTTGAGAGATGGGAAAGATTCTCATTTTTCTGGAAACAGAGTTATAATACAAACTGCACTAAAAGCTTAAGCTATTAGTTGGATGGGCCAGTATACTAAATGAGGCCACAGAAGCAGAACCAAAGCCAGTTACTTAGTATACAGTTTGAGAACTTTTTATTAGAACTTCCTTCTGCCTTGTGCCAAATCATGTTTGAGCAAAATTTTAAATATCTTGAATGCGTGCAACTAGTTTATTTCTTTTTTCTTTTTGACTTGCTACGTAACAATAAACTGGGTAACAAAACTTAGCAGGTATTAGAAGATGATTTTCAGATCTTTTGATGTCTAATGTTTATTTCAGAGAAATGTATGGATTAATATTCATTTAAGGTTAGAGTAGCCTTTGCAGAAGGGTGAAAGCCAGAAAATTAAAATTATGAACTTTATTTTGTTTTCCAATTATGACACTCTTTTCAATTCTGGTATCCAGTCAAAGAACTTTAACAACCAATGCAATTATAGCCTCCTCTCTCTCTCCCCATGGATGCATACACACACACACAATGTTACTCCGACTCTTCTATGTGCCATGCCATGCCTGTGTCGACACAACATGACAATGGATACGACACAGAATATGTGACCAACACTCCTCCATGGAGTTGCACACGCAGCCTAGTGAGAGACGAACTGAAGAGAGGACATGAAAAGAGAAGTAGAAACAGAGCTGAAGATAAAAGAAGAAAATACGGAGCCAGCTGTTGCCATAATAAATAAGATATTAATCTTTTTATTGAGCGACAAAAAATTATAATTATATGTTCTAAAAAAAATTAAATATCAGTTTGACAGTCTATTGATATTTTCTATGGACTATGGTCATAAATTTATTGGTCATCCAGTCAGCAATTTAGTGGGGATTTATATGGAATCATAATGTAGGCTGTCATTGCAGCAGTTATTCGAGTGTGTACACCATTGCAAAATGGAAAATAATTTTCCGAAAATGAATAATCAGAACTTTAAAATTGTTTTTGGTCATTAACCCATTAAAAAAAATTGCACTACTATGAAAGTTATTCAATTGGTAGGGAATTCTTTATACCCAATTTACAATGTTCAATTAATTTATCTGGATTGTATGACTTTGTAAGAGAATACTAATATTTCCCCTTCTTTACAGAGTTTTTGGCTTGGATGGGTTGTGGGTTCATGGCCCTTGTTTTGGGCGCTTTTTGTCAGCTTCGTTCTTGGAACGGCATATTCAATCAATGTAAGTTTAATTACAAAATGGATTTAGCTCAAATTCTTGAGCAGTTCCTGAAAGCATTAAGGAACTGCATTACAATCATAGAAATAAATGATTGCCATCATGCATAGAAAGCAATCATAATTAAATCCTCGACCCATGAATGCAGTCTTGTTAGTTAATCTCTAGGAGAACTATGTTGGTTGGTTTCTTCTTTTTGCTGCCTTTTCCAGTTTTTTATTCCTGATTCCCAATGCTCCAGCTGCCTTCACCTTTTATTCCCTAGTCCAATCTAGTCCCTGAAAAATTGTGCTATGTGAAATTTTAGCTTGATTTTACTTTGTACCTAGGAATTGATATGTCAAAGGGAGCATATTTCGTCCTTTTGAGACCTTTAAAAGAGGTGACTGAATTTTGGCTTTCTTTTTATTCAAAATTGTTGTAAATGTTTTGGCTTGTACCATATTTCTGAATATTTTTGGTGCTGATGAGGTCACATCTTTAATTTCCATTTGTTATCTATGGGTTGTGGCTCAATTGGCAACGCAGGCTGAATATGTGGGAAGAACTCTTGGATTTGATCCCCACTAAACACACCTGCAGGGAGGGGCAAAGAGCCTTAACTGTGACTAAGCCCTGAGCCGGATTTAGTCGGTCCTTGGTAATAGGGCCTGGATATCAGTGATTTACACCAAAAAAAAAAAAAAAAAAATTCCGAAGAACTCTTGATTTGATCCCCACTAAACACACCTGCAAGGGAGGGGGCAAGAGCCCTTAACTGTGACTAAGCCCTGAGGCCGGATTTAAGTCGGTCCTTGGTAATAGGGCTGGAAATATCAGTGATTTACAACCAAAAAAAAAAAAAAAAAAAATTCCATTTGTTTTGTCAAAAAAAAAAAAAAAAAAATTCCATTTGTTTGTTGGTGCTCAGTGAAGTTTATTGATAATAATGAATAAAAATATTGGATTCAATATATTTATCCATATCCTTCATTATTTATTTGTTTAATGCATTTTGCAATTTTTAGAAAATATGTGAGTAGGAGGAAGCTATGGCCATTATGTCATGGCCCTGAGATTCCCTTTCATTGCCCTTAGCTATGATTGCAACAACAATCTAAATCTGTGGAGTGGAGCTGAGATTTAAGTGTTCGGATCATGTGGAAAGCTACAACCTACAACCAAGAATATGGGCAAAAAGCCTGATACCTGCGATTGATCTTTTAAAAGCCATGAAAGGAAATTTAGTGGTAGTTTCATTTTTTTATCAACTTCACCTCAATATGAAAAATTTGAGGACTGTGAATGGCTGGTTTCAAAGAATGGACTATGCATTTAAGAAATAGCTGAAATTGAGATTGCAATTGGAAAAAGAAAAGGAGGACAAGAAAAGCAAAGAAGAAACTATGTAAAACTGCATCAAATTGGAGTTCCTAGGAAACATTTTGTAGGTATCCTAGGGGGGTAGTTTCCATCTATGATCATTGAACTTATCATTAAATTTTAATGTTAACTCTTTGCATAAGCAAAACTACTCAACTTTGGTATTGGTTTAATAAGGTCACTATTACTAAAGTTTTATAGAGATTCAACCAAAAATTTCATTTGATGACCAAGTATACGTTGTATAGGAATTGTGTAGCTTATAGAACTTTAGAAAACTTTTACTCGGTTACATTAAAAATATGGTAGCTATTTTATCAAATCTAGCAATAGTAACCTGATGTAACAAAGATCAAAATTGAATGATCTTATTGATATAAATTGAAGTTTAATGTTTAAGTTGATGTCAAGAAATTGTAGATCTTTTGAGGCAACTTCCCTCCATATGGTTCTAGGTCTACCTCTTCTTCTTTTAGCACCTTTTACCATCAATGTATTGTATTTATGAACTAGAGCGCATGAGGGTCTGGATAGGACACAACCAAATCATCTCAAACATCCTTTTATTTTATCAGCTATTTGTGCTACTTCCACTTTTTGTCTGATTTGGTCATTTTTAATCTTGTCTAATCTTGTGTAACCGCACATCCATTTTAACATCATCATTTCTGCAACATTCATCTTGTAAACGTCTTGGACATCAGGACCCAATATTCACTCCAAGATAATATTGTAGACCTCACCACTGTTCTATAGAACTTGTCTTTTACTTTGTTGGATATCTTCCTATCACATAGCATCCCTGTAGCACCCTCTATTTCATCAATCAAATTTTAATTCCATGGGTTACATTTTCATCTATCTTGTTTCCCTTTTAAAATACAAAGCCTAAATATTTACATTGACTGCACCTAGGCACAATAATACCATCCAATCTTACTGCATCTTCATTCTTCTTATTGGATCCAAACTCATAGTGTAAGTAATCTATCTTATTTTTGCTTAACCTAAGACCTTCGCTCTCAAGACTGCTACTCTATAATTTTAACTTTTGGCTTACTCCCTCGCTGGTTTTATCAGTTAAGACAATATCATGAGTGAATAGCATGTACCATGGAACTTGATCTTATATACTATTGGTTAGTTTATCTGTAACTAGGGTAAACAAGCATTAACTTAAGGCAAATCTCTAATGTAGTCCTACAATTATGGAGGACTCCTTTGTATCTCCTTCCACTGTTCTTAACACTTGTGACTACATACAGATCTTTAATGGTATTTATATATTTGACATGAAGTTAGTTTTCTCCAAAACTTACCAAACTGCTTTTCTCTACATTCTGTTATATTTATTCTCTGGGTCAGTGAATATCATATATAGATCCTTATTCCTTTCCCTACAGATTTCCATAAATCCTCTTAGCAAAAATATAGTCTCTGTTGTAGATCTACTAAGCATAAAGCCAAATTAGTTCTCCCACGTCTTTGTAATGTCTTCGAGTCTATGCTCTATCACTTTTTTCTAAAGCTTCATCGTATGTCTCAAAGTTTAATATCACAGTAGTTCACACAACTTTGAATTTCCCACTTGTTCTTATATATAGGAATCAAAGTGCTCTTTTCTCCACTCATTTGGCATCATTCTTCCTTTTAATATAATATTGAATAACTTTGTTAACTAAGTAGGTCCTACTTCCCCAAGACTCTCCAAGGCTTTATAGAGATGCCATCTAGGCCACATGCTTTTCCAACCTTCATATTTTTAAGGTCCCTGAACTTCAGTAAGCTTAATCCTATGGGTGAAGTTATGATTTTTGTCTCATAGAGTTATTACAGTCTGTAAGTTATCCTTATGGCTTGTGTTGAACAGTTGGTAAAATAGCATCTTTATCTCTCCTTTATCTCACTATCTCCTGTTAGAACTTGTTGGATATTGTTTTTGGTAAACTTAATTTGATTCAAGCCGTTACCCCTTTTCTATCTCAACCGTGCTAGCTTTTACATTTCCTTCTCCCCCTTTTGTGTTTCTAGATTTAGTACAACTCTCGCTTTCTAGCTTCTCTGTGTGTTCTTCAAAAGCTTCCTTGTATGCTGCTTCTTATACCAATCTCATTTTGTTTTCATGGGTGTTTGTACCTGCGCATTCAACAATCATCATTCATGTGGTTGATGTCCTAACTCTTTAAATACACCAACTCTTTGCTTGCTACTTTCTTAATACAACATGTCGTTTCCTTCTAGGGACATTTGCATTCGCTTCTAAGTTGTAGATATCCTCCAACAACTTGCCCTTAAAAGCTATTTGGTTGTGCTTTTTAATGTTCACAATGAAATTCTTGGTTGCATGAAATTCTTCTCCTTTTGCTCACCACTTTTACTCTTTATGTCTGATACCGCTAGCCTATGTTAGGTGGTTGAAGCCTCTCTTGGTATAACATTGTAGTCCTTACATATGGCTTTTTCCTTCTTTGTTGTAAGCATGAAGTTTGTTTGGCTCTAATTACCCGCACTCTTAAAGGTGATCAAATAATACTCCTTTTTGGAGCAGGTGTTAGCTAAGACTATATCATAAGCTAAGGCAAATTCTACAATAGTCTGCCCCTCTTCACTCCTTTTGTCCTAGCCATATCCCCTTTATATTGGATAAAAAAAAGTCGCATTCTCTACCTACATATCCATTCAAATCTCTTCCAATTTGTTATGATTTGCTGCTGTAATTAGCTGCTGAGATTAGGAGCTATAATTAGCAGATCATTAGCAGATTATTTGGGATCCTAGATTATCATTAGCAAATTATTTGGGATCCTTGATTAGTTACCTATTTTGGGCTCTAATTTAACCCGCACTCCTTAAGGTGATCCAAATATACTCCTTTTATGGAGCAGGTGTTAGCTAAGACTATATCATAAGCTAAGGCAAATTCCTACAATAGTCTGCCCCTCTTCACTCCTTTTTCTAGCATATCCCCCCCCTTTTATATTGGATAAAAAAAAGTCGCATTCTCTACCTACATATCCATTCAAAGTCTCTTCCAGATTTGTTATGATCTTGTGCTGCTGTAATTAGCTGGCTGAGATTAGGAGCTAATAATTAGCCAAGATCATTAGCAGATATTTGGGATGCCTAGAATTATCATTAGGCAAATTAATTTGGGATCTTGATTGTTACCTATGGAGTTGCTACATGATGTGGTTAGTAATCTAATTGTAGATCTCTCGCCAGTTCTTGAGGGAAAATTAAGCTTTAATATATTCCTCTCATTCGTTCTTCTTCACATGAGTATCAGAGCCAACCAAATGGGCCTGAATAACATTCCATCTTCTATCTCTCTTTCTCGTCTTCTTAAGGGATTTCCGAATCTACCCTATTTTTCTCTGCTGCTTCTATAGTCATAACCACACGGCCATTGACAGATATCCTACGCACTTTCCTTTTCCTGTTCTGCTACTGAATATGGCTGAAATCAAGGTCTAATCAAGTGCTCTTCTTCCTAATTTCTACTGGTATTACTATGTAAACTTTAAAAAAAGGCAGTGAGCAATTGCATTTCCTTGGTTCAATTCTATTGAGCGCTATGGTTTTCCGGTCAAGGATATGATGATGCAATCTTATTAAGAATGCTACCTGATATCGTTGCAACC